CAAAAATCGATATTTTGGTCGAAAACCCTGATAAAGCTAAAAACGCTTATTAACTTCGTTAAAACACGTTTAAATTGAAAAATAAGCTTATTTTGTGATCACTCATATTTCCCTTCAAAAATCGATATTTTGGTCGAAAACCCTGATAAAGCTAAAAACGCTTATAACTTCGTTAAAACACGTTTAAATTGAACAAGTAAGAAAGTATAGTCGGGCGTGGCCGACCATATGATACCCTACACCAGTTATGAATATTAAATGTGATTTATTTTTCATAATAAAGCATTTATCTTCAATATTCCCTTGTTCCGATACATATAAGCAATTTATGGATGAAAAACTAATTTTCTGAAAGAGGCTTTATATGGGGGCTAGGGGCAAATATGGACCAAGCCCGATATATGAATATATGAATATATTTATATTTACATAATATTTTATTGTGCTGAATTTCATCGCGATATTTGTGTATATAAGTTAATTTGGGACATTCAAGTAATTTTCTGAAGGGGACTTTGTATGGGAGCTAGGGTCAAATGGGGCCCGATCTTTATGAAATTTGGCAGAGTCATCAAGACTTCTATAAAACTTAGTTGTGCCGTATTTTATCGATATATCTGTATATTTAACATAATTATGAGCTCAGAAGCCATTTTCGGGGGGTTCTGTTCTATGGGGGCTAGGTGAAATAATGGACTGATTGTAACCATTTTCAATAGGCTTCGTCCTTGGGTCAAATAAAACGTGCGTGCCAAATTTCATCCAATTACCTTGAAAATTGCGACCTGTAGCTTGCGCACAAGGTTTACATGGCCAGCCAGCCAGCCAGCCAGACGGACGGACGGACGGACATAGCTTAATCGACTCAGAAAACGATTCTAAGCCGATTGGTATACTTTAAGGTGGGTCTAGGACGAATATTTTTGTATGTTACAAACATCAGCACAAATCCAATATACCCTCCCCACTAAAGTGGTGTAGGGTATAAAAATAGGCTTATTTTGTGATCACTCATATTTCCCTTCAAAAATCAATATTTTGGTCAAAAACCTTGAAGAAACTAAAATCGGTTATATCTTCCTTAAAACACGTTTAAATTTAAAAATAAGCTTATTTTGTGATCACTCATATTTCCTGTCAAAAAGTCGATATTTTGGTCGAAAACCCTGATAAAATTAAAATCGCTTATAACTTCGTTAAAACACGTTTAAATTGAAAAATAAGCTTATTTTGTGGTCACTCATATTTCCCTTCAGAAATCGATATTTTGGTCGAAAACCTTGAAGAAACTAAAATCGCTTATAACTTCGTTAAAACACGTTTAAATTGAAAAATAAGCTTATTTTGTGATCACTCATATTTCCCTTCAAAAATCGATATTTTGGTCGAAAACCCTGATAAAGCTAAAAACGCTTATAACTTCGTTAAAACACGTTTAAATTGAAAAATAGGCTTATTTTGTGATCACTCATTTTCCTTCAAAAATCGTTATTTTGGTCGAAAACTTTGAGGAAACTAAAATCGCTTATAACTTCGTTAAAACACGTTTAAATTGAAAAATAAGTTTATTTTGTGAACTCTCATATTTTCCTTCAAAAATCAATATTTTGGTCGAAAACCTTGAAGAAACTAAAATCGCTTATATCTTCCTTAAAACACGTTTAAATTGAAAAATAAGCTTATTTTGTGATCACTTATATTCGCCATCAAAAATCGATATTTTGGTCGAAATCCCTGATAAAGCTAAAAACGCTTATAACTTCGTTAAAACACGTTTAAATTAAAAAATAAGCTTATTTTGTGATCACTCATATTTCTCTTCAAAAAATCTTCGTTAAAACACGTTTAAATTCAAAAATAAGCTTATTTTGTGATCACTTATATTCTCCATCAAAAATCGATATTTTGGTCAAAAAAATCGCTTATAACTTCGTTAAAACACGTTTAAATTGAAAAATAAGCTTATTTTGTGATCACTTATATTCGCCATCAAAAATCTATATACAGGTCGAAAACTTTGAATTAAATTAAAACACGTTTAAATTGAAAAATAAGCTTATTTTGTGAACTCTTATATTCTCCATCAAAAATCGATATATTGGTCGAAAACCTTGAAGAAACTAAAATCGCTTATAACTTCGTTAAAACACGTTTAAATTGAAAAATAAGCTTATTTTGTGATCACATATATTCTCCATAAAAAATCGATATTTTGGTCGAAAACCCTGATAAAACTAAAATCGCTTATAACTTCGTTAAAACACGTTTAAATTGAAAAATAAGCTTATTTTGTGATCACTCATATTTCCCTTCAAAAATCGATATTTTGGTCGGAAACCTTGAAGAAACTAAAATCGCTTATAACTTCGTTAAAACACGTTTAAATTGAACATGTATCTTATATTCCCACCATCAAACCTTATGCCCTAAAAGGAATGCTCTCCTATAAACATCAGGTTGATATTACTTATCAAATTTACTGAGGGGGACCTTATATGAGACGATACATGGGACCTTTTCATAAATTTTTTAGACCGATTTTGGTTCATATAAAATATGTTTACATCGAATATCAATTCCCGACTCTTTCCGCATGAAATGCGGTAGGTTGATTTACGTTCCTATAAAAGTTTTTTAGGTTTTGGCGTTAAAGTAATTATCTGAAGTGGGCCTAATATGGGAGGTAGGGTCAATTATGGACCGATCCACATAAAATTTGGTAGAGAGTATTTTGCTCGTAAGAGATTTACTTATTTCAAATTTCATTGCTATACTTGTATTTTTAAGCTAGTATTCGTTAAAGTCGTTTTTTAAAACGGACCTTATGTGGAGGGTAGGGTCAGTTATGGACCGATCCATATAAAATTTGGTAGAGACATTTTCACTCGCATGAAACCTAAGTGTGTCGAATTTCATCTCTATGTTATACTTTTTTAGCCAGTAATGAAAGTTATAGCCATTTTCTGAAGGGGACCTTATATGGGGTGTTGGGTCAAATATGGGCCGATCTTCATAAAATATTGGGGAGATATTTTAGTTCCCCAAAAACTTATTTACGTTGAATTTCGGTGCTTTACTATCATTTTAAAGCATGTTGTAAGAGTTAAAGTCATTTTCTTAAAGGGAGCTTATATGGGGGTAGGGTCAGTTATGGGCCGATTTCCAAAAAATTTTGCACAGATATTTATGACGTTTGTTATAGACGTTTTCTGAGAGGGACCTTATGGACCGATTCTCGTAAAATTTTGTAGGGAGTTTTTGGCTCATATAAAACTTGTTTATGAAGAATTTCATTGACATACTTATGTTTTTAAACAATCTATGACTGTTTACACTGTTTTTCGGTGGGCCACTTGTATGGGGGCTATGCGAAAACATGGACCGATATGGCCCATTTTCAATATCAAACAAACTGCATCAATAAAAAATATTTATGCAAAATTTCAACTCTTAGCTTTTCTCGTTCGGACTCTATCGTGCTTTTAACAGACAGACGGACAGACGGACCCAGAATATATATACTTTTGAAGGTCTGTGACCAATATTTCGATGTGTTACAAACGGAATGACAAAAACAATATACATCTTTTTTGATGATACCCACCATAAAACAAAAACCCAAAGTCAGAAATTGCGCTATTTATTTTAGCACATTGTAGTTGGTCGATATACATATGTACAATAGCTACAGACAGAAGATCTTGCAATTTATAACAGCAAAAAATGTATATACCGACATAAATAAATATGTATGCGGGAATGTTGAATTGAAGAAAACACTGGGATAAAAACCCATAAAAATAAAAACAAAAGATTTTATAAAGTTTGTACTTGTTGTTGTGTGTCTATGTGTAGTTTTTTTGTTGTGCGGTTCTGTATATGAAATGACTCACATCATTAAAACAAATTTATTTAGATAATAATTTAATTTTTCCTCGATTTGTTGTTTTTTTCTGCTTTTTTGATATAGAAAATTATTTTTGTTTGTTTTTGTTGTTTAAACAATTGTTTAGTTGCCACTCTTTGAAAATTTTATGTTTGTATTTGATATCTATTGGCAGTGTACAGTGGGTTTGATAGATTCAAATTTAGTTTTACGGTATTCTTTTTATATTAAGATATATATAAATATTTAATGTTCAAAAAAGAGCCTGCCAGAACTTTGAATTTGAAGAAAAAGTTCATAAGTTTGAACTAGAACTAGAACTGAACTAGAACTGAACTAGAACTGAACTAGAACTGAACTAGAACTGAACTAGAACTGAACTAGAACTGAACTAGAACTGAAATAGAACTGAAATAGAACTGAACTAGAACTGCACTAGAACTGAACTAGAACTGAACTAGAACTGAACTAGAACTGAACTAGAACTAGAACTGAACTAGAACTGAACTAGAACTGAACTAGAACTGAACTAGAACTGAACTAGAACTGAACTAGAACTGAACTAGAACTGAACTAGAACTGAACTAGAACTGAACTAGAACTGAACTAGAACTGAACTAGAACTGAACTAGAACTGAACTAGAACTGAACTAGAACTGAACTAGAACTGAACTAGAACTGAACTAGAACTGAACTAGAACTGAACTAGAACTGAACTAGAACTGAACTAGAACTGAACTAGAACTGAACTAGAACTAAACTAGAACTGAACTAGAACTGAACTAGAACTGAACTAGAACTGAACTAGAACTGAACTAGAACTGAACTGGAACTGAACTAGAACTGAACTTGAACTATTAAAAATCTTAAATATTTTCTTTAGAAAGCCTTCCGCCATCTTGGTATGCCTTTCCACCCCACTGTGCAGCAAAGATTATTAAAATAATATCAAGAATTTCATTTGTACCCGGCATTTTTATAGTTGGTTTTTCTCTTATTGCTGCTACTGCTTTATTGTATTTTACACATTCTGTTGCTGTTTCTGCTGTTCGTTTTTCGACTACAGGTCGTTTATTTAATTTTTTATTTTATACAATATTTTTTAACAATTTATTTGCCAAAAGAGAGTCTTTACCGCCACATTTGCTATTTACACTATTCAGTTCGCAGATGTTCACATCCGCGTCTAGAACACGACATGTTGAGTTTTCAGTAGCGAAAAACGGGGAAAATAATGCAAATTTGAACGTAATACGGAAACAAACGAAAAAGCAAAAGGAAAAATTAAATAAAATTAAAAAAGAGTACAAAAAAAGAGTTTGATTTATTATTACTTTTTTAAATAAATAAGTAAAGCTGCTGCATATAAAAAAAAATATTATTTAGAAAGAAAAATAAGCAAAAATATTTACCAAATATTTAGACATACATATTAAACAGTGGGAGATTTTTAAATGAGTTTTTAAAGCAGTGGAAAAAAGTGTAAAAGAAGTATTTAAAAAATTATAAAAATATAATTATTTAGAAAAAAGCTAGAATTAATCATTAAATTCATTCTAATGAAAAATTGTTTACTTTAAAGCTATAAATTAAGTAATAAAAAATATATTTAAATTGTTGCTACAATTCTTAGAAAAACAACAGGTATTTATTTAAATTCTTTCTATATTTAACAAAAAGCAACAATGTGTTTTTATATATTTTTGATTTCCTCATTAAATTTTATTTTCCTCAAAGAAATGTTCTAATTTTTGTTAGTTTTTATTTTGGCTAATGGTGGTGTTACTTTTGTATTGCAGCTTGTGAGTTTTCTTGTTATTTTTGTGTATTATATATTTTTATGATATTTCTTAGCAGTCTGTGGCCAAACATGTTGACGTTGCATGTGCAATATTTATAAATAAAATTTTAAATTGAAATATTGAACAGATATTAATGAGATTAAACGATGATTTTCATTAAATTTTAATACTCATCTCAGAGAGATTTTAATAATGCTTTGAGAGTCATTGGCATTAAAATTGAGTTGTTAATGCAGATGTATTGAGTGCATATTGGTGGTTATATACAGTGTGGAAGAAATATGAATTAAAAAGCAACAACTATATTTAAAATCTAGCTAATTTTATTTTTTTAACACATCGATAATATTGAAAGCAAGTATTTACCTCGCTTGCTTATATATAAGTACATGAATAAGTACTTACAAATAAAGCGTTAAAAAGTTCTTTGTCTTACGCGACACATAACACGAACCTGGGTCTCGTGTTCGTTAGTACTCACAGTACGTACGCATCAAATAATGATTTTCTTGGTATGTGTGTAAAACCAACGTCTATAATTATGTGGGGATCTGTTAAGATTTTCTATAGAAATTTTTTCATCTGTTAAGATTTTCTATAGAAATTTTTTCATCTGTTAAGATTTTCTATAGAAAATTTTTCATCTGTTAAGATTTTCTATAGAAAATTTTTCATCTGTTAAGATTTTCTATAGAAAATTTTTCATCTGTTAAGATTTTCTATAGAAAATTTTTCATCTGTTAAGATTTTCTATAGAAAATTTTTCATCTGTTAAGATTTTCTATAGAAAATTTTTCATCTGTTAAGATTTTCTATAGAAAATTTTTCATCTGTTAAGATTTTCTATAGAAAATTTTTCATCTGTTAAGATTTTCTATAGAAAATTTTTCATCTGTTAAGATTTTCTATAGAAAATTTTTCATCTGTTAAGATTTTCTATAGAAAATTTTTCATCTGTTAAGATTTTCTATAGAAAATTTTTCATCTGTTAAGATTTTCTATAGAAAATTTTTCATCTGTTAAGATTTTCTATAGAAAATTTTTCATCTGTTAAGATTTTCTATAGAAAATTTTTCATCTGTTAAGATTTTCTATAGAAAATTTTTCATATGTTAAGATTTAATTTTCATATGTTAGATTTCTATTTTATCTATTTAACCATGGGGTGTTTTATGCTTTCTACTACCTGATAATGCACTTTCTTGATTTATTTATTTTAGGAATTTACAGAAAATAAAATATATAAAATATTTATTTTTATATCTTGTCAACACGTGCCACTTGCCTGTCTAAATTATCATATAAATTATTAAATTTTTGTTCTCTTTAAATTCATGCTATGAAATTATAATGAATGTTAAACATTTATTAATATGACAAATTTTAAACAAACATTCAAAGACCGACAAGTAGACTTACAAAACAAACAGACACTGTTGTTGTCGGTCAAGCACTTTGAATAATCAACAAAACACAAAGATTCACCATAAAATGTCAAATCAATGAACACTTGAGCAATTTTCAAATACATTTAATGTTAAATTAGATATCATGCGTTCAAGAGTTATGGTGGATAAATGTAACTGTCTAATTTTCTTATTGTTTAGAATATATAAAGAAAAACAAAACATTATTTTGTTAAATATTTAAAATCTGACCGAAACAAATGAACGAGGTCAGTGTTTTGTTTATATTAGAGAATTAATAATGATAAATTTTTAATTTCGTAATGTGTATGAAAGTATTATTAGACTTGTTAAGAAAATTTAATAGAATGATTAATTTAAATGGAAATAGATACAAGATTATTTTAGTATTTGGTAGTGGTAAGATATTAGGTATTAAAACGATGTAAGATATTGAGTAAAAATTGTCTGTGCATTTGTACTTGCTGATAAGTTTGGGCTTATGGGCAGGCGATGTCTTTATACTTCTAAGGGGAAGGATCCAAATTACTTGTATAGAAGAGCTGAACAGGCTCTAAATACAGCCTTCAGCTGGGCTTAACCGAGAGGCCTCAATCTGAAATATGTCTTTTCACAAGAAATACAACAATTTCTAAATATACTGAAGATACCGGTGACAGACAGATTTAAGTACTTAGGAGTAATCCTTGACCAGAAGTTGAAATGGAGACACCACAAAGAGGATAGGATCAACAAGGCACATCGGTTCTGGGCGCTATGTAGGAGAACCATAGAATCATGTCGTCTTAGTCCTCTTATGACACATTGACTTTATAAAAGTGTAAGTAGGCCAATTCTTGCTTAGACCTCAATAATCAGGCAGACTTCTTTAGACAAAAAGTCTAATATCAAACTACTACAAAGAGTACAGCGTGCATGCTGCTTGGGTATCAGTTGAGCCATTAGTACTACGTCCACCAAGGCTTTGGAAACGAAGCTAGATATACCACCAATGAAACATTTATAAGATATGAAGCGGCACTTAATATGTCGGAAACTTTGAATATATTGATTTAATCTAAGACCGTATACAAAATTGAACGTGCGGATTCAGACAAATTCAGAGCATGCAGAGAGAACAGTGAAACTTTGGAGCACTTTCTTTGTCACTGTCAGGCTTTCGCCGAAATTAGATCCAAATATCTTGGAAGTGATATTATAACATCCCTCACAAACGCAGATTTAAAAGTTCTTAGGAAATACGTCCAGGAAACTGAGTTTCTGAACATCGTGAATACTATATAAGGTTTTTAGTTTTATCAACAAACATTTCCATGAAAAGGAGCGCACAACAGGCATGATAGTGGCCTAGGTGTATTTCTTCAGATTTGATGTAGATACATCCTCCTATCAACCTAACCTGACATTTTCTTTAGAAAATGTTGCTTCTATTAAGATTTCCAAAAGAATGTCTTTCTCCTGTTATAATTTTCTATAGAAAAAATTGTCTCTACATCCATATATTAACAGGTTTTGTCTATTTTATATTTTGTTCCTTTCAATAGCAGAAAATTGAAAATAAAAAACTTTCCGTTGAATTTTGTTTTAGCAGACTTTTCATTTAATCAAAACAATTTAGACATTAATTAATTGTTTAGAAAATTTTAAGTAAAAGGTGTGAATAAGCAAAACAAAAAAACAAAAAAAAAAAAAAAAAAAAAAAAACCAAAATTAAATGAAACAAATATAGAAATAAAGCAAAACTAAAAATGAATCGAAATTTTGTTGTTAAGCATCGTTAATTATAGATATAGACTTGTTAGATTTAACTAAAAAGTTTATAGATTTATGGGTTTATATTGGGGGAAATATTCAAAATAATTTTTCTAATAGTGATTTATTTTTATATTTATATATATTTATTTTAAACCGAAACCATTTTTATAACACTTTTTTATACATTGTGAAAAAGGTGTTAATTGTGCTATAGACTAAATTTAAACTAAAATTTTTAGAGAATATGTTAAATTTTTAAATTTTAATTAAATATTTATAAAAATCTTTTATATTTCTCTTTAAATTATCTTTCTCTTATTAAAATTCCACTTTTAAAAGTTTCTATGGAAGATTTGCATCTATTAAAATTCTGTAAAGATTTTCAATAGACACCAGTTAGAAAGTATACTCGGATAAACCAATCGGCTTAGAATATTTTTCGGTATGTATGTATGTCCGTCTGTCTGTCTGTCTGTCTGTCTGTCTGTCTGTCTGTATGTATGTCTGTCTGTCTGTCTGTCTGTCTGTCTGTCTGTCTGTCTGTCTGTATGTCTGTATGTCTGTCTGTCTATCCGTTTTTCTCTTATGAATGAATCGGATAAATGAGAAGTGTGCTGGGTTGAATGATGATGGATGAAAGGTATCATAAACAAGTGGTACCATTAAATTTTCCTTCCTTGTCCAGGTATGTTCAGAGTAAACTCTGTTCATACCAGAATTACCACAGTGTGTCCCTGTGAGTAAGAACAAAGTCTCGGCTTATTTGATGGATTCGTACTTCGGTCTACAGATTACGTCTTTAGGTGCTATTGCCGAATCAACAGAGGCCATCCCATCTGCGTGGTTGTAAACGGAAGTGATCATCTCGGAAGTTAAGCAACGGGGCAGCAATGGTTAGAGATTGGATAGCTCGAACACTTGAGCAAAGTGCTTGTACATGGACCGGCTTTAGCCATGTACAGAAATTGCCACCTGATTTCTTCATTGAGGATTGAAAGGGCATTGGCGAGTCGTCACAAAGCTCACCCAGTGGTTGAAAAAGACCACCGTGAGATAGGCCAACATGGCGGGTACTTACTTAAAGCACTTCGACTTCAATGTCTGTCCGTCAATGTAAATCCTGTAACCAAACTTCAGGCCGCAATTTTGAAGATAATTTTAGGAGAATCGATCCAAAGACGAATCCTATTGAAAGTGGTTAAAGTCAGTTCATTGTTTCACCTAACTCCCAACAAAAAAACAGCAACATTTTTGTTTGCTTTTTTGTCGGATCATACACTTTCAAAAGTGTCATAATATCAATCAACGACTGATTATACATTCTCATAAGTTTTAAAAGGACTTTTCTTTTAAGTTCTGTTTCTTAAATGCTCCAAACAGAGTCTTAAATTCTCCTTTGTTTATTATTAAAATTAGCTTTTTAAAAATCCACTGATTTAAAAACTGCAATTTTTCAAAAGTTTAACTATTTAAACAACAATTTCCAAAGAAACCTATAATTGTACATTATGTCTGTGTGCCAGTCCATATACATATATAATTTAAAGTCAAGTACAGTTACTTATAATTACTTGACACTTAACTGTTATATCCGCTTGCATGCTAATTAACGTCATATTAAAAACACCAAAAGTACAGCAAAAAAAAAAAACTTTTATTT